TACAAGCACTTCAACACTTCGATATACCGACAGTCAACTTGGCACCGCTGAAGGGACTGCAGCAGACAACGAAGGCGCAAGTATACAAATAAATATAAGGACCAAATATTTATAATCAAATATTTATACTTGCGGTCGTTGTGTGTAAAACATCATTTTAATTTTTTATGTTTTGGACTCTGAATCTGAATTTGTATCAGAAGCTTGATGCCGTGATGTAAAATGGGTCGGATTTTTAAAATAATAATATAAGTGAAATACGTACATGTGTCACTCCAAATTACTAAAATCATACTCAATTTAACGATAATTATTTATTTGTCAATTCATTATTAATCCTCTTAATATTTGCATGATACCAACGCCAGATCTGAATCGTCCTTTGGCTTGTAGGTAATACGAATACTGAACATTAAGTACTTGTTCAGTATTCGTATTACCTACAAATAATTGTTTCGGGTCTGTTTGTGCGTTCATGTGCAATTTTTGTTCGTTAAACAGAAACAATATTCTTACTGGCAGCCCTACGAAGAACTTTATGCTTTCTACATTTACGTTAGTCTATCAATAGTATAATAACTCGCTCGAGCGTAGTCTACATAGCTGTCCGTATGATCTTACGTAATTGTATTTTACGTTCAACTCCATCACTATGATAATCTAGACTAAATTATTGACGACGGTTAATTGTTTGTCTGCTTTTAACGAATTTCGTATATTTATCAAACTCGTGAAAAAAGGATCAAGAAAAAATCCACTGCTGCTGGGCTTTTTCCTTTGTAGCGACGATTTGCTTTGACGGTCTTGCTTCGTATGTTTCGATACGTCTCGATTGACAATTTCAGTACCATAAGTCGAGACATCTGGTACTTCAATTGTCAATTTTTCCTTTGATTCTATTCCTAATCGATGGTCTAGTGATTTTTCATCTGGCGTGAAATTTTTGTGAGCTTAACAGTTATAACGTTCACTGTGTAATGATATAAGAACTTTCTGGCATTTCCTATATAATAGCCATGTGTCCTCTTGGTGGCGACGTAAGGGAATCTATCATTCATATCTCATTTCGTTCTGCGCATGTCATAAGTGGCAATTAATAGAGAATATGTTTTTATAACTCATTTTACCACTTTTAATTAATTTGCTTTCATGTAGGTATGTCTGTTTGCATCAAATTTGGTAGTTGATTGTAAACTTACTTCCCGCTAAGCTAAACATTTTTGAATTTTGATCATAGCATAGACAAAAGACAATGACAAAAAATGTGGTAAGTATATTATAAAATTTTAAGAGATTTTTTTTTAATTTCACTCGTTAAACCTCTTTTGCAAACTGCACTGTTTTATACTTGTTACTATTATATAATATTTTTTATAATTTATTTCAATTATTTGACAGCTTAAACAATACGGAGGTATTTTCGACTTGTTGCTATTAACACGGACTAACCAGTTACTCTTACGAAATTTAACTGTGTAAATTTATTCATTGTAAAGAAAAGTTTATGTTTAAGATCGTAATATTATTTTTTGTGCCGGTATGTTTGGTTTACCGTTAGTTTGTTTGCATACAGTTTTACATATTAAAAGTACATAGTTAACAGAGCATATACTTATTTTATAAATATACTGTTAAAATCTGTTTTAACGAAATTGAAGACACCATATATCTAAGTACGCTATATCCGTTAGTTTTTTATACACTATACATCATCATTACAGCTTATCTCAAGTCCACTGTTGAACAAAGGCTTCCCCCATGTTATGCCACAAACCGTGGTGCTGATCCACCTGCATCCATCGATCTCTTATAGTAGGTTGCCACTCCGTTTAGTGAGAGGCTGTCCTACACTTGGCTTATATGTTTTATGTGTCTTCCATCCGAAAACCTTTCATAAGTTTCTCGAGTAATTTAAATCTGTTTTGATTAAATGGATTAATTTACAACGTGGTAGAGCCATGCTGCAACTATATTACTAGTATAGCTGTAGCACGAATGGGTCGGCTCAAGAAGGACCACGCTGTCACAGAATACCAGCGTAAAATAACAGCTTAACACTGCTGTGTTTCGTATGGTGAGTGTAGAGAATCGGAGACCTATTTTACTGGAAAAGAGGCATTCGAACTTAGTCCTCACGGGTGAGAAGGCATCTGCATTTTAATTCTTTATTGAGGTTAGATGTAGATGTCTATGGGTCACAGCAACCACTTACCATCAGGTGGACTGTGTGCTCGTTTGCCACCCTATCCTATAAAAAAAATCTGTTTGGGTTTTATATTAATAATGTGTTTGTATTTCTTACGTGGTAGAGTCATTCTGCAGCTATATTATGGTAGTAGCACAAATGGATCGGCTCGACCGGGGAAGGACCACGCTCTCAAAGAACAACAGCGGAAAATAGCAGCTCAATGCTGCTGCGTTTCTGCATTTCGATTCTTAATCGAGGACCCTTGTTTTATAAAAAAATATAGAGACCAGGTTCATGCTTGTTAGTCGCATCTAAGCAATGTCGGTATATCCGTCTTCGAATGTATTTGTACAAAAAGTAGGAACGAAAGGTTCTCAAGTGGCAGCCTCGTAGCAATAAGATAAGTAATTGTTATAAGGGTTAAATAAATTGTAAACTTCCTTTTCGGCCTCGGCTAACCCTCAAGAAATTGAAGATCATCGTGATCAAGTTGTGAAAGCAGGATTTGTTAAAAAATGTTCGTGTAACACAATAAAACCTAATGATCTGCTAATGTGTAACATTTTTTGCCTAGAATATTGTGTTATTGTATTACTCCGAAGGACGGAACTGCGCTCGCTTCACTTTCCACTCGGTTGCCTCCAACGTGCATCCCTTTGGTTACATGGCCGAAGAAAGGCTATTGTTATAAGGCGTTGATCCTTTAGTTTTGATTTAAATAATATGTATGAGGACCTTAAAATTGACAAAGAATCTAGAACTTTCTTTAAAATATTATTTTTCGAAAAGCTAATTTGTTTAAGATTAAATATTTTAAATAGATTTGAAGCAAATAAACTCATCGAATTACTGTTTTAACACCAAGCAATATCAAAAGTAAACCTATTGTATTTTCTTCAAACTAGTTAAAAATATTTTATTGTAACTCTTTAATATAATTTCCTTTAGTTTAAAATAATGCTATGCTTGCTGGTTTTATGTTTTTTATTACAATGTTGAGCTGACTTAAATTTAAGGCGTTGTAGACAAACCTACGGGCGTTTTTTTTAAACTGCTGGATACGGACGTTATATAAATTTAAAAAAAAATTCGAAAGTCGAATCTTTAACCTTATCCATGCTCTGCAAGAGGTGTAGTACCCCACTGCATTGTTCCCGTTTGAAGGATGAGAGAGCCAATAAAATTATAGGTTGTAAGGCATTTCGTCTTAATTCTTATTTGTTGCTAACAGCGCATCTGAATGTTGGGGCAGGTTGGTTGCATACGAGGTAGTCATGCTGCAGCTACTATATTATAGTAGTAGTACTAATGGGTCGGTTCGACCGGGGAGAAACAACCCTCCCGCAGAATACCAGCGTGAATAGCACCTTTATGCTGCTGGGTTTCCTATGGTGAGTGTAGAGTACCAGTGACCCTTTTAACTGAAAATGAGCTATTCTGTGTTAGTCCTAAGGGGGGACAACGTACCTGCATTTTGATACTTAATTGAGGATATATGTAAATGTCTATATTCTTTACTTACCATCTGGTGGACTGTGTGTGTTCGTTAGTCACCCTATTTATATAGTATAAAAAAGATGTCCGCCGGTTGCAGTATCCACTTTCTATCAAATGGACTGATGGCTCGTTTGTCCACACTTATACTATAGAAAATATTTTATAATTTTTTAATTAAATTTGCAATATATAACTTGGATGCTCCCTTACTTGAAAGGCCTCAGAGTCCTTACTCATATACCTGATTCACTTATATGTTACAAACGTTTTTTTATCGGAATGTACTATAGAATTACAGTTTTTCGCAATATATACAGATATTTTATATTTTTGTTGTAAGACCAGTAAAACATCTAGGCTAAATAGCTGTCGATGAGTTACATTTATCGTTTTCGGTCTTATTATCAATAGTGGTTTATTGATCTCAATTGCGATATTTGTCATATTACAGAAGATGTCCAACATATGCTAGCAGAATGTGTCAAATATCTAAGGGAAGGTTGAAGTATGGTTTTTGAGTATACTTGCAGAGCCACACTCAGCGGTAGCAAAATCATTATTTTCCATATTCTTACCACATTGTTTCCTCCTTTCTAAATATATGGATTTGTGTAACAGGAACAGGGCATGGTATGATAAGGCTGACATATCCTTGTAAGATAAAAGACTTTTTAAATAAAGATAGATCATTAAAAAAAAACGTGGTTTATCTCGGGCTTAACTTTGCCACGAATAAAGTTCGAAATTTGATATTTGCTGTCAAATTACATACTTTAATTTGCACATTTTGTGCGGGACTTCTTCATTGAAACAGATAATAATCTACTTTTTGTAATAAGACGGTTTAGGTTTTTATAAATCTTATTGTATCTTGACTCCTACTTTCAAATTCTGGGGCGATACTTGATGCATTTAAGAGCAATTGTAGACGCAGTATTATAAAATATCCTTTGTATGTTAATGGTCTATTGTTGTTGCGTGTGGTCTTTTTAAATTGTATGTCTGTATCCTTTCAACACTTGGTTTTGTCAGTTGTAAATATGTCTGTGGCTTAATTAATGTCAATCTCATCGCCGGTCTCTCAGTTAATTTTTTTAACTGCTGTGATCGTCTATGCAATTAGAGGTCTAGTTGTCTTTGAACAATTTTTAGTTATATGCTAACACGCTGGATAAATTACATGTTTACCAAAACATCTGCGGAGCATACGCGAAGCAAAGCTAAATAAACACGAAAGTAACGTTTCATTACTCCTGCTAATTTTGGCATAGAGCGAATGATATTCGGGTCATTCGCAATCGTACGTGTATTTCACAGTATAGTGTGAGCAATATCTGTCTATTTTATCAGTTTCGAATTTGGAGTACTCAAGAGATACAGGCTCGTACTGGACTAAATATAGTGGATGAAGATTGTGAGAATAAGAACGTCACGTAGATCCCCAGTGTAATTACTTTAACAAAAATGAATGTTAAACTCGGACATCTGTATGTTCCTTTGATTAATACATAGTTTTACCCGTGCCAAGAATAAACAGGTTTAGTTACGTTAAGTCCGTGCTACTTACCGTGGGATCAAATGGGTCCGGAAACGAGAGACCCTTTTTACTCGGTAACGAAACATTCTTAGTCCTCAAGGGTGAAAACTCAAGTGCATTTTGAGTTTCGGTTCTCAAGCGAGAATAGATGTGGTTGTATATGTGTGTATCTACATCATCTATCTGCCATCAGTTAGGCTGTGCTGTCTTACGCCCGAAATTAATAATGTATCTCGTATCCAAGATCGACCGCAGTCTTGGATTGCGGTGTATCGTTGGATTGGTCTTCAATCCGCGTGCCAATAACTCAACCCGGCAATCCCAATTTTTTTTCGACGACAGATTTCTAGCAATCCGTTCCCTCTTGACCGTTCCTTTTGATGTAAAATATCGATTGCATAAAACTTTATTAAGTGTCTTTTAAAACAAATCATTCACATAACTACTGAAAAAATGTTTCAAAATAATGTTTGTTGTTATAATATTATGCCTAAAAATTTACGGAAATTATAATTTCAGTCTAGTTTTGGTATTAAAACTATGACATTATTTAGTTGAAATGGAACGTGTGACGTAGACGTCTTGCATTTGAATTTGACAAGACATTTTGATTCCGTTGCGAGTGCGAGTTTAGTTATTTCCGTGTAGCAGACTTCAAAAATATTATCTTCTTGTTATATATAAATTAGAAATTATAATATAATGGATTCAGAAATCGTAAGTACATATTGTTTTATCTATTAAGGTTCTAAGTTGCGCGCGCTTTCATAATGACGCTTATCATTCCCGCCTTATTTGTAACGTTGTTGTTAATCATTGTAATTTTCTTTTACTAGGTAAAAGGTAAACCTCTTACAAAAGAAGAGTCAAAGTTTTTGCTTGACCTAATAGAAGGTAGTAAAATAATTACCACCAAAACCACTAACGCCACCAACAACAAACTTAAAACTGAAGAGTGGATTCGTTTGGCAGAGCGATTCAATGCCACAGCCACGAATTTTCCAAGAACACCACAGCAGTTGCGTTTGAAGTGGGAAAATTTAAAGAAGAACTCGCGCAAGCGCAGCACCAAAATAAGGATGAACCAAATTAAGGTTACATACTTTAACACATAATATATATTTTATCCATAGTCTATAACTTCCAATGGAATGTTCTAAAATAATGTTAAATCTAATATTCTTATTGCAGACTGGTGGTGGCCCTGCTGACTATATACCCCCAGATGACATATTAGACCGGGTGACCAGTCTATTAGGAAGTACAGTCAGTGGGTTTACTGTACCGTTTGGGGGTGACAAGGAAATAGCTTGGTTTAATGTTGGTGGTGGTGGTGATGGTGATGGTGAAGGTGGAACAAGTGATAGTGAAAACTTAGGAAATGTGATGGTGCAGACACCACAAATTTTACAGACTTTTACAGACTTAAATGAAACCACAATCTCAACACCATTATGTAATGAAAAAGGTATTGAGAATGTGGTTGCTGATTACCAAGTATTAGAGGTGGTTGACCAAAATTTGATCACTCCGAATAAAACCAAGAGGCTTACATTTAGTACACCTAGAGCAGGTAATGGTTGTTTTTACGATTTTGGATTTATGAATGATAAATGCTTATTTTGATTAGCCCTCACGTTTTGCCCTTCCTCACTCTCTACATTTATGTGATAAAATATTTATTAATTTAACCTTGTTGAAGATTATTTATGTAAGGCTTATTTAATTGCATCTGAGCAAGTCACAGGGAAATTAGACTATGTCAGGCATAATCACTTGCGGAAGATCTTTTATTTATGAGATAAATGATTTATGTTAATAGGTATGATCTCATCAAAGTATCTTAACCACCTTACTGATTTGGGCATAATTGCTTATTTTTCACACTGGTCTCCTAGCTGAGATGACAGGATTTTATGAACACTGACGTCTTTGATAAAGTTAAATTATAAACACAGCCCCATTATACATCTATGATATTATTATATGCTAAATTTTATGAAAACAGAAATGAGTGCACTTATATTGATCTCATATTTGCTTCATATTCCAGTGAAAAAGAAATTGAAGAAAGATGAGAACAGGACTGCGAGGAACTTAGCCATAGCAGAATATTATTCAGCCAAAAAACAATGCTTAGATGCCACATTAAATAATATTAATTTAGAAAATGATAACTTAAAATTAAAAAATTTGGAGCTTAATTTGAATAACGAAAAACTTAAGTTAGAAACTGAGAAATTAAAATTAGAATTAGAGAGGTTAAGAAAGCAGCAATAATGTTTAGTATAGTATAATAATTATAATACTTATTTAGTCTGTAGTTTAGTAGTAGTAAATTTGAATATATAAGTGTAATTGTATAATAAATTTAGGAAACTTGGCATCTAAGTAGGTATTGTTTCCTGGCTATGTATGGCCTTATTAACCCAACCATCAAAGAATTGTTCTTTATATTTTATATTTGTTTTACAGAAGAGGGCCATAAGAGCAATCAATGATTTAAAACCTATTCGCTTTGACAAAAATTTAAGGAAATTAATATATTAACTTTGGCCTCTCAATACATTTATGAAAATGTAATGTACATTCACACGTACATATACATGTATATGCTTTTATAACAAAATCCCAGAAAACATACAAACTTTGATTTGCTCAAAGTTCAAAAACTTTAAACTATGTTTGTATAAAAAGGGTTATTATAAGGAATTTATGGATGATAATAACCCCTGAGGTGATTGTGAGAATCTTTTTTTTTTTTTTTAAAAACGTTACCCCCACTCTAGGATTTTCTCCTGTATCGTGGAGGCAGTTTACAAACATATATTGCACAGGGACAAACATCCAGACCCGGAACAATTATTTGTAGGCCATACAAATACTTGTTCAGTGCGGGATTCGAACCCGCGGCTCCAAGCGTTGCAACTCATTGCTATGCCACGGAGCCGTCGAATGATTGTTTTGTGTTGTTAATTGTGTAACATATATGATTTTAAGCTGTTATTTTTTTAACTCCCGCTGGGTTTCTTGCTGGTTCTTCTCAGGACAGAGGTTTTTTCCGAACCAGTGGTAATTAAACATTTCAGTAAGTATTATTTATAATCTACATTTAATAAAAAAGTTTCTATTTCTACTGTCTAAATGATATAGTGGTAATGAATAATATTTTAACATTGAATTTAAATGAAATTGCTTAAAATAAAAAATTTTATCACCATCATATGATTGTTTATTTTTATACTATTATTTTGAATAAACTAATTTGACAGATTTTATTGTCTTTAATTTGTACTTGTTTTTAATTCCTAAACTTTCAATAACTTAAAACTATTGGTCCGACCTTAATCAAATTCATATGGGACCACATGAGAAGCACCAACTTTCAAATAAAAAAAGAATCATCGAATCGAATCATCAACTAAGAAAAAGTTTTGGGGTAACACATACAGTCGAATTGAGTACCTCCTCCTTTTAAAAAGTTTGTAGAAAATAATTTTATATGCATACAGTGAATATAATAGTAATTTGTATGTGGTAGAGCCATGCTGCAGTTATATTAATAGTATAGTTGTAGAACGAATGGGTCGGCTCGGCCAGGGAAGGACCACGCTCTCACAGAATACCAGCTTAACACTGCTGTTTCGTATGGTGACTGTAGGGAACTGGCGACCCTTTTTACTGAAAAGAGGCATTCCATCTTGGTCCTCACGGGTGACAACGCATCTGCATTTTGATTCTTTATTGAGGATAGATATGGGTGTCTGGGTCACAGTAACTGCTTACAATCAGGTGGATCGTGTGCTCGTTTGTCACCATATCATGAAAAAATCATTTTTTAAAAACGAATACCTACCGGCGTAAGTCAAACTTACTAATGACTATTTTCATTAATACTTCAACTGAGTTACTTATAGCAGATGTTTATTACAGTATTATTTGTTGACACCTATACTTTAATAATGCAAATGCATACAATTATAAGGTCTAAGTTATTTTTGACCAGCTTTTAGCAATATTTTTATTGATTTGTGTCAGTTTTTAGAATATTTGTGTTAATGCAATAATCATTAAAGTAAGTAAAATATTCTTATATTTATTTATTGCATTCCCTATTACAAAAGAATTAATGCCATTAGGCATTCTCTACTAGTCAACCCATAGTTCTATTTTCTGTGAAGTAATGTAGTGTTTTTATGAAGTAATTATAAAAATGTTATTATAAAAATAATTACTTTTCTATTATTAATCTTTTCAAATAAAAATATTAATTATGAAACAGGACAGGAATTGGATTTAGGTACTTGTACTTTTTTTGTTTTATTTTTTCTTAAGATTAAAACTGATAATTGATTCACTGTTGAGAGCCTTACCTCAAATTTGGAAATAAAGTTTAACTTAGGTTTAAAATTTGTATGTAATAAAGCAAACATTGATTTGAAAAGTATTTATTTATCTAAAAAAATTATTTACAAGTGCTGCTCTTTCACTGACATCTTGAACTTCCGAAAAGTACATATCTTCATTTATTTCCACTATTGGCAGCTCCACTTCTGAAGGAACTTCCTCTAAGTTGTGGTTCCTACAAATATTATGCAACACTGCGGTAGCAATTATTATTGCCTGAACCTTAGGCAATGATAAACGCAGTGTTAATGCCACAACAGGGAAGCGACGCTTCCAGACACCAAACGTTCTGAGAAAAAGATAAATGTATATTAGAATTGACCTTTTTAAATGGGTTACAGAACATTAAAAGCTCAATGACTACGAGTAGACTATCCTCATATGGACCACCTCATCCATAATATAAACTATTAAATAAAAAAGCATCATTAAAGTAATTTCTCAATTGATTAAGATATACGGGTGTATTCATAATCATTTTTAAACAGTTCATTAGTTAAAAAGTGTTTTGTCACTTTCTAGCAACAAGTATCTCGCAAATGTCAGAATGAGACAAAACACTTTTTAACTAATGAACTGTTTAAAAATGATTATGAATACACCCGATAATATATATATATATATATATATATATATATATATATATATGACAATTTATAGTAGAATTGAGAACCTCCTGTTTCCTGCCAAAAATAAAATACCTAATATTTGTAAGATCTAAACAAAATAGCTACCTTTCAATAATATTCCTAGTCTTTATGTGTGCTTCATTATAGCGCTGTTCAGCTTCAGTAACAGGATTTATAAGAGGTGTTAGTAAATATGGCCTGTTTGGGTAAGCACTGTCACCAAGCATCCAACGGTTACCAAACAGACCTGCATCACATTGGGCTGTAAATAAAGATATTTAATTAAGTACATTTTGATAACATTAAAATATAACAAAAGCAAATAAAACTATTAAACCAGTCAGAAACCTCTGAGAATTGAGTTGTTAAATATTGTGGCATCATGTGTCGAGCCTGGCCAACGGGCAATCACATTCATGAATTTTAAATCAGCATCACAGATTGCCTGGACATTTAAGGAAAAGTAACCTTTACGATTCCTAAACTCTTCACCAATTACATGACCTAGAAGAAATCATAGTTAATGTATCTTTTTATATAGAATAAGTGTCAAACAAGTATGCAGTTCACCTGATGGTAAGAAAATGCTGTTGCCCACAGACCTACATCTGCTCTCCATTTAAAATTAAAATGTAGATGCATTGTCACGCCTGAGGACTAACACAAAATGCCTTGTTATCACATTTTATATACATATCATATTTAACAATGGTATTCTGTTTCTGTGAGTGCAGTTCTTCCCCTTTTGAGCCAACCTTCCTAACACATGTCTAATATAGAAGAATAGTGTATGTTCTATTTATATATGATATTTATGAAGAGAAAATATACAATTTTAGTCTGTATAATATTAGGAAATACTCACATGGCGATTGGATTCGTATATGAGTGCAATCAATTGCAGCTAAAACTCTAGGAAATCCTGCAATATGGTAGAATTTTTCAGCACTTTGTTGGTGTATTACAACGTATTCATCATATAAGTTCGCAATTGCTGATGATATATCACGAACTATTCTCCCTGCTGTGGATATTGATACTCCAACAAAGTCCGCTACAGAAATTAACATCGTGCCTAACGCATAAAATCGTAATGTCAATAAAAGTTGATGAAGTGGCGAAACCCCATTGTTCCTGAAATTTTAAAACCATTAATTACTAAATAAAGTAAGGTTAAGTACTATCTTTTGAAAGTAAAAATTTTTTTTTAATGTAATGTTTTACATTATCTCGAAAATTATTTACCTTGTGGAGGTTACACGAATAAACGGCATCAATTTTATTAATAGCGAATTGAAAGCAGGTTTGGATAACCTAAACCTAAACATGAACTCGGCATCATCCAGACTCTGCATGTAGTTCAACCTTCTAATTTTTCGTGAAGAAGCGCGGTGTCTATCTTCAGATTCGCTATCAGTATCCCAATCGGATAATTGAGCCAGCACCTCCAAATCACTGTCATCACTATCACTGTAAAATATCGATATTTCCATTTTCTTATTTTAATAAAAATAACGCTGTGACGAAATCTCCGGTATTTCTTGGATTGCAATCCCGATCGTTTCCAGCGATCAAAACGAAATGTCAAAATCGACAGATAGGTTATTAACACGCGCAAACTGTCATTTTCGAACAGAGGCCAATCGTTTTTCTGTGATCCGCCCTCTGTAAGATAGATTGATTTTTAAGATAGCAAACTCAATGCATAGATTGTTTATTGGCACGCTTAACCCACAAAATAGATTAAAATATCAATCTTAGATAGCTAAAATTGGATCAGGATTGATTATTAATTTCGGGCGTTAGGTGTTTAAATAATATTCGATTATTTCGACCCGACACGACGTTGGATTTTATATTATGGTGATTAATGAACCCTAGACTACTTGCACACATTTACAAGACATTGCTTGCTTAGTTGTTGCTGTATAGTGTTCGTTTGCATTGCAAAAATGGATCTTTATCTGCGTCAGTGATCCCAGAAACTTTCATCATCATCATCATCATCATATAAAAACTTTACCCCCACACTAGGATTTTTTCCTGTATCGTGGAGGCTGTTTACAAACATAAATTGCACGAGGACAAACATCCAGACCCGGAACAATTATCTGTAGGCCATACAAATACTTGTTCCGCGCGGGATTCGAACCCGCGACCCTCAGCGCAACAACTCACTGCTAAGCCGCTGCGCCATGGAGCCGTCCATGTACATAACAATGTTCAAAACAAGGAGTTTTTAAAAAAAAATAAAACTGAAGTGACAAATGAACTTACAGTTCACCAGATGGTGAATGGCTACTGCAGTCCATGGACACCTGCAACCAGCTCCATTTAAAAAAAGGCTACAGAGCTGTCATATAATGTGAACACCGAGGTTAAATGTCTCACAGCCCTTAATTATACTAGACATCTATACAATACGTAAGAGGGTGGAAATCGAGACGGTATCCTAGGCAAAAAAGTAGTGTGTTTAACGTTATCTTAACGTCAGAGAATATCCTGATAAAAAAAATTTACGTGGTAGAGCTATGCTGCAGCAACGAATGGGTCGGCTCGACCGAGGTAGGACCACGCTCTCACAGAATACCAGCGTAAAATAGCAGCTTAATGCTGCTGTGTTTCGTATAGTGAGTGTAGAGAACCGGATACCCTTTTTAGTGGAAACGAGGCATTCTATCTTAGTCCTCAGTGGTGACGACGCAAATGCTATTTGATTTTTAATCAAGGATAAAAATGTAGATACCTATGGGCCACTGCATCCACTTACTATCAGGTGGATGTGTGCTCGTATGTACCCCAAATCTATAAAAAAAAAAACAATGACCTATTTATCATTAAAAACAAAAAAGATTTTATTATTCACTTTTGTTTGTAATTAAAAGTTATAGAGAATATCTGATGAAACCGTTTCTAATACAGAAATAGTATTGCTGCATCAAGCATCAATAAACATAGCGTATACACTTAAAATCACTTACAATTGTCTTTCGGAGTCGACACTAACGTTATGTGATTGATCATAGCATGGTATTACTTTTACTTTTATTATAAACGAATTGAAACCGTTTTCTAAAGCACTTCAATGTATTGGTGTTCTAAAAATAGAGATATCATGTCGCGTGCCCTCGTCTTGTTCGGTATGGTCCCCTGACGACGCGAGCGCATTCGAAGGGGCTCTGTGCACGTGCTCAATGACGATATATCGGCTCACGAGCAAAAAGAAAAAAAATCGTTGATATTGTTCTTTTGTTTGCTTCTAATATAAAATAACGTTAACGTTTTCGAAAATTCGAAAGCTGTTTCATTGATCGCTTTTGTTTTAGGCATTTTGTTATTTACTACATTAGAAAGAATAAAGAACGTATGAATAAATAATAAACAAAGTGAAAATTGTATTTACACAACTAGGCCAGTAAAATAATAGAAAGTTACCACTACACACGATATTTGAATATCATATTTATATTCATTATATTTATATGTTTCTCACTTATTTTGATTGCCTCTTCCTTATACAAATAAAGGACATGCCAGTTAGTAAACTTTTTTTTAAATGATGGTTGTTTTTCTTATTAATCCAACTAAAAGTCGCTGAATTCAGATTCAAAACGACAGTACGGTGCAGGTTTTAGCGACTCTTCTTCGTAACGTTCGAAGTTAGTCGTGTCACCAGGGGATTTATATTTAGGAACAAATGGAGCAGGGAATTTGCAATTAAGTATCGCTTCCCATTCGATTCCCGTAAACCATCTATGATTTTTGAAATCCATTACCCCATTTTTCATTACTCCAAAACGCTTGGTGATATCCACTTGTAGAGTGCTTCGGACGAGGTCTCGAAGATCAGCATTGAAATTCGAAGGACACCTATATTTACCAGCGACTATTCTCTCATACGTCTTCATGGGGTCGTTAGCGAAAAATGGTGGGTATCCAGCATTCATTTCATATAGCAGAACTCCAAAAGACCACCAGTCCACCGAGAAACCATAACCCTTACTCAATATTAACTCAGGGGCCAGATACTCAGGAGTACCACACAAAGTCCACGTTCTTCCATGTAAGATTTTACTAAAACCGAAATCTGTGATTTTCAAATAGCCGTTCTTTTCGATGAGGATATTCTCGGGCTTCAAATCACGATAAACAATGTTGCAGAAGTGAAGATATTCCAGTGCTAAAATTACTTGACTAGCGTAAAATTTCGCTAAAGGTTCCTCGAACTTTCCCATTCGTCGTAAGTGCGTAAACATTTCACCGCCTGACACGAAAGGCATAACAAAGTATATATAACTGTTATCTTTAAAACTAAACTCCATTGAAACCGTGAACGGGAACCGTATAGCCTCTAGTACTCTCTTCTCAGACAATGTGTGTTCAACTTGCTTCAGTTTGATTATTTTCTCTTTGTCGAGCACTTTCATAGCATAGAATTTTCCAGATTTGGTATGTTTTAATAGAACTACTCTCCCAAAAGCGCCAGTACCTAAGGTCCGTACACGATCTAGTTCAGAAAATGTGATACTAAACCTAGGTTTTGCACACCATCTTTGTTCGAATTCATCTTTCAGTTGTTTGAGATATTTGACGTATTGTTGTTGCTGTTGCTCTGTGTATCCACTACGAACATCTGTGGAAATGCCACTTGTTTTATAAGACATGTCTTTGGAATATTTGTAACCCTTATTCGGATACATCATTTACACCTGACGTGTAGAAACATGGCCAACTAGTTTACAAGACGAAACGGTGCTGTAACGCGAGAGTATGCATTACTAGCGAACTAGCGACATGTTTTTGATTTCACTATACTGGCGGTTGCTTGTGAAATAGAATCTAATACTTAAAAAAGTGTATATATTTGTTTTGTGTATACAATACTTACAATATACAATAATAATTTGTAAGGATTCATTAAATTTTCTGAAGATAAAAGGTAACTTTATACACCCTTGCGAATATGTCCGTGCCGCAGAAATTGAAAGTACGTGGGGTGGTATAGGAATAAGGGTGAACGAGCCGACTGTAAGACAGGGTGGCGAAATCAGCTGTTTTGGGGTGTCACGAAATGCCTCGCCGTTCGGCCGCCGCGCCTTCCCGACTGGTGTATTGATCAGACAGCACGTGGAATTTGTACGTTCCACGAAACTTTTCCCTTCTTTGTCCAATTACAGGGAAAATAAAAGATACCTTCTGTTTGTTGGAATTACTATAACGTATAGAAAAATGTTTAAAATAGCGAGCAGCTTATTATTAAAATCCACTCGTTGAGTATTCTGTTTACGCTTTGGAGTGTATATATGATATTAGAGATTAAAAAATTAAACAAAACGCATTGATATTGAAGTTCAAAAAATGTTTCCTAAATCACGTTGTCAATCCATTTCATTGCACTTCCATTATGTATTATAATTAACGCAGCAGTAGGTCAAAATTATACTATTAGATTTTCGTTTAACTGTACCGTTATCCGAACTTACTGGTAAGGCACATGGTACTATGTTTTATGATGGTGACGCACGCTGTCACGCTTATGAATTTATTGTCAGTGTTCTCGAAATTATTTGGGCCTTCGAACCAGATGTTAAAGTTATCTAGGTTTGATTATTGTATGCCTTACGCGCTTTGCGCGTTAGGTATGCTATGCTCTTCTAGCACCTAAAAATCAAGATTCCAACGTCTTGTCGCATGAAATCGTATCTAACAATCATATTAACATATAAATTATATAAAAAGCACATTGTCAGAAAGATAAATGATTGTTGAACTTATTTTTTTTTTAATCGATCAATTGCTGTTTTTACATAAAAAGCGGTTTTAGTAGGATAAAGTGTAGATTTATCACTTCCGCATGGAGACGTAAACACGATAACTTTTGAAAATATCAATTGTTTAACTCTTTAACTTAATCTATATTTTAAACTCTTCATCGATCATGTGAGAAGCCATGGTATGTGGCAGTTTAATTTTGTTTTGTTTAGTTATAAATAATTGTTTTTCGGCTGAGAAATAGCAAAATTTTCGATGCCTTGTATTAATTTATTTTACTCATCGATTTTTTGTTTAATGAGAGTTCTTTACTGTTTTTCTAAATATATATAATAGTGTCCTGGATGTGTGACTTTTACACTTTTTGAACGAGCACTAAGGCATGTTTACCGTCGGAGCATTCGAATGCTACTAGATTAAAAGTGCACCCATATGTTCGAGTGGGTGCACATTCGGTTATGCCATTTTTTGACACTGATTGTGTATCTAGTTTTTTATTAGTGATTGATGGTGATCGATGATTTTACTAAATACACTTCGCCTCACGCCCGGTTACAGTCTCAGATTTGTTTCTCCGGGCTCAGCCGCCGTCGTGAGTGGTCGTTTGTTTACAGCGGTTCGTGCTGAAAAATATCGATCGCTTTAGAAATAGAAAATATTCTAAAACCCAAATTTGATACATACTTGACAAAGGTAAAATATTATTATTATTTTTATAATCACAGATTTTTATTACAATATTTTGTTTCGCTAAAAGTACGCAGGATTTATATATATATATATATATATATATATATATATATATATATATATATATATATATACTTATACATCTCGGGCTTTTTGGAGACCTGAAGGTGAACTTCGATATCTGCTACTGGAACTCGACGAGTAGAACTAGGTGTGCCGTGATTGTGTTCGTTATATTAGTTATGATGAGACCTTACCCTGACTTGAAGGTGTACTTCGGTGAATGCTGGTGGAACACCTCGAAGAGTAGTAATAGTAATAGGTGTGCTGAGTTTGGGCTCGTTTTGTTAGTTATGATGAGACCTTATCTCCGAACAGTGGTGGATTATCCTTAAAGCAAACTAGGCACGTGGCTAGGCCCGCAAGGTTAAAAAGGCGCGCGCGGAAGTTTTTAAACGAAAAAAATTCGTCGTATTTGATTACTCCTAAATCGTTCTTACTCTCGACACACAATTCGGCATATATGATATTTTCATCGACGAACGGAGCATATAATGAACACGAATATAACATAATTGGCAATGGACGCGTGCTCATGGTTTTATAGTTGATAGCGACCAATAAATAAAATGAGCAAACAGATATCCAAGCATTCAAGTGAGTCAAATCACTGTTTTTGCTCTGTTACTGGAATTATGGAATGTGTGGCCGTTTGAATACGTTAGTCGTCAATGTTAGAAAAAGTTGCGTCTTGATGGACACTGCGATTGCATAGTGGTATAATGTTTATATTCTGTTGATGTTACTATATTATAAGTATGCTATTATGGTATCCCAACTTCGATTCAGATGCTAAAAAAAATGCCAGCTGCTAAGTCTTGTTTAAATGAATAAGAAATGAAAATAAATTGCAAGTAGGTAATGTAACTAAAAATGCAGTGCTATTTTTAAGTAATTTCAATCAAATATCAAGATAAATAATATTTGTAGATCATCAATATCAGCTTCGTCGTCTGCTTGTGCTTGTGACGTTGAAGGGCCATTTTCAAAAGCAATACTCTTGGCATCACAAGCGACTCTTTAATCCCTCTAATCTGTTTTAAAACATGTTCGGGAACGTTATAGGAATGACAATATTTAACTGATCTTTTAAGGCCATATCTGATGTGTAGGATCGAATTCAGTGTATATAGTGACATACGATTTCTTAATTTTGTTTTTACGAAAAATGCTAAAATATGCAATATGCTAAAGCAAATTTTTTCATGCCAACAGGTTTAAAGATATGCCAAATTTAGCATTAAAAATGCCACATCGGCAACACTCTAATTCGATTCGCCGCCACTTGGGACAATAATATGATAACAACCTATGTTTGTCATGAAAGCTGAGCGCTACGTCCCGCTGTACCTTCGTCCCTTAATAAAAATTAAGAGACGAAAACCCTAAGTCGCTAAAACGCGATCAATCGGAAAACCAGAATTTGAATAACTGCCATTTGTGTGACACAAATAACTGCTTTAAGGAAACGCATCGTATCTTGATTACGAATTTATAGTAATATCATACATATAAATCCAAATGTATCTTCGTTACTCAGCGTTCTTTGATGTGTTGTTTGCTTGAATGTTAAAAATGTTAGTCGTATGCTATGCTTGGCGTTAGGCAAGCGGAAAAAACGCACTCGAGCGCCGAAAGATAGACTCGTTAGAGGCAGGCACGCTGATACCGACGGTTATTTTTCGAGGACGTAGGTGGCGTAAAAACTAGACAAGCAACTCGTTTTGGACGCAACGCGGCTGCCGGTTGCTATGTGTATGTATATAATATAATTAAATGTTACTTCAATCGACGTAAGAAGAAAATGATTGTCATCAATCGACACAACTGAGTTGTTACTATTAATATAGTTACTATTAATAAGTTTATTTTCATTTCCCATTTTTTTTTAAATGGGTCCAATATTTGAAAGTTTTGTGGTCAATAGAGACTAATGCTTATTTAAAGACTTTACTGTATTTAAAAGTATCTATGACTATGTTTGTGTATTTCCGTATCTGAACTTTACGTCTCGCATATTTTGAGGAAAATGATAATATCGTCTCTAAATCATTATAATATACATTTTGTCTGCTTCAATGCATTATGAAATCAATAATTACATATATCTCATTAATTAATGACTTAAATCAATATGTAGTTTTAAAAACAAAGAATTAAGGACAGACCGTAACGTACACACACAATTTTTTATACAAGTAATTAAAAATGGTTGACTATCAAACTCCTGTGAACGGTAGAGTACAACGACGGATCCCCTGCTCACACACGCTGACAAAAATTTCCTTTCGATACTGCGGCGTCCGCTGTTCAGGTCAGAACAGTAGGACGGACCTTGGTATCAATATAGTTCACTTGACACATAGGCAGGCGTAGATTTTCATAACTTATTAGGATAAGCTAGAATAATTTCAAGTCTTGAAAAAGGGGTAATTTTTATAATTAGCTATTAGTAATCGTGTAACTTCTGAATGTCTTGATCGTTTGAGGTCGTATTCACGCAACATAATTATCTATATTATGTTTTGTCGATGTTTCAAAACTGCTGTCAAGTTATTAACAAATCTATTTTTATGGACCAAATCGTCTCATATTCACAATATTTTTGTATGTGTCTAAAAAGAAAATCACAAAATCTGGACCCGACAGGTGGCGCTCTGGTCGATTTAGCAATAAATTTTATGTTTACACTACCTATAAAAGTTCTGAGTAAATTCGGAGTGAATCTCATAAGTGCCACTCAACGGAAAAAGCATAACAATGTCTGCCGTGCCATTAGTATAATAATATAACATGAATACTAAGCATGAAGATTAAAGATATAAATGTATATCTAATATTGACACTGAAGTGTACTTTTATAACAGCTTTGTGCTCTGACTCTCTAAAACTGAATGATTTAATATGCGTCATGTTATGTGCATGTAGAAACAAAATACAAAGAATAGTGAAGTAAAGGGATGAGTTGTTTGTAGCAGCCAGGTCAATGGGTGAAAGGACATTTTTAAAACACACTTGAAACGGAGTTACTAAGGCAAAGGCACGAGCAATAAATTTTTCCATAACATAAAATATGTTTACGAGAATTTTATCATATTTCTTATGAGAAAACTGAGTACTCTCACACTGGGCTCCTTTGATTGGGGGAGCGGAGACGTTGGATCAACGCCGATTGATCCAG